TTCCTCTCTCTCTTTCTCTCTCTTATGATTTTTTAAGTGCATAATCAATCATGCCATGGTTTCTGATCTTGGTCTGCAAGAGTGTCTATTCATATTCTGGTTGCTAAGAGAGACTGTCTGCAATCTTTATGCATCATCACACCCCCAGGGAATTGTCAGAACAGTGATTGGGTAGCATCTGGAGAGTATTGTTAGGCAGAGAAAATCCAGGTGCAATCCCATTCAGTGAGTCCCTGTAAAACTATATTGAAGGCTACTTGATAAATAACTAGTTAATGAATATTCAGGCTATTTCCTCAGTTTTGCAGAACTTACTCTAAGTTGGGACAAAAGAAGAGAGATGGTGACACTCAGTATCACTCTATTGGACCACTAACCCAACAACAAAATAGTGTATCTGCTCATAAAACTATTAATTATTTTATTTCACTTTAAAATTTGCTGAAGCTTAAGGAGATAAGCAAGATTTTAATTCATTGGGATTGTGCAGATGCTGCCCTAGTCCTAATATGACTTCCTAAGGGATTTAGGTCAAGGAGGCCTGAGTAGCACTGTGGATTACACCTCTGAAATCTAGTATACAATTTTTCACTGAATTACAGTGTGAACTTTCAGGTCAAGCCTAAAGTTTGCGTGCTCAAATGGCCTACCATAACAGGAAAAACAGAGTAACCAAATAGCATACACCTTGATGAGAAAGATCTTCTGAGGCAGAAAGGATTACCATGTTGCCGCATGAGTGCTTTTTGTCCTTGTTGGTAATTCTTTAAAGTTCTATGACTCCCCAGGTTATATATAAAGGGGCGGTTTAGACAGGAAAGAGTCAATAGTGGCAGTCCTAATTTTGCTGAGTTGCCCATTTGAAATGAAGGACTGTCACATGCTTCTCTCTTCTTTCTTCCTCATCTTGTTCTGGTCTTTCTTTCTTTCCTAACTTCCTTCCAATGTTCCTTCTTTTATTTTCTTCATTTTCTTCCTTCAACAAACCATTTAGCCAGACAAAGACAAATACTGTATGATACCACTTATATGTGTAATCTATAAAAGCCAAACTCATAGAAACAGAGAATAGAATGGTAGTTGCCAGGGGTGGGGGTGCGGGAATCACACGGATGTTGTTCAAGGATACAAACTTGCAGCTATTATGAATAAGTTCTGGAGACCTAATGCACAGCATAGTGATTATAGTTAATAATGCTGTATTACACACTTCAAAGTTGCTAAGAGACTAGATCTTAACTGTTCTCATTAGAGAAAAGAAATGATAATTACATGCATGATAGAGATGTTAGCCAAAGCTGTGGTGGTAATCATATTGCAATACAAATGTAGCAAATCAACACATTTTACACATAAAACTTACACAATGTTATAGGTTAATTGTATCTCAATTTTAAAAAATGCATCAAGCACTTACAGCTGGGCACTGTGCTGGATACTCCAGATACAAAGACCACTAAACAATGGGGCAGCCTAATAAGTGAGAAGAAAATTGCAATAAATATAGTATCTGTGATGCTGACTAAAGATATCATAACATGCAATGAGAATTCATATGAGGGGATCAGTTAATCAGCTCTACAGTTAATGACTTCCCAGAAGACTCTTAATCTTAGTATTGAATGTAAAAAATGTCAGTAAGGAAGCAAGAGGAAGAGGAAGCAGAGGAAGCAACCTGTTGAGGCATAAAGGTATGGGGAAATTATTAATAGTTCAGAGGTTAATGCAATGGGAAAGCCTGGAATTAGAATGGAGACTTGGTCTCAGAACAAGCTTAGCCACTTAGAACTGGGCCCAAACTCTAGAGTGGTACTATAGCAAAGTCAGTAATATGTGGACTCCTAGGTAATATCCTCAATTTTATTATCCTCACACATATCCTAAATTGCTACAGATTTCCATGATATTTGTACCAGAGTCTGAGAAAGGATAAAACTTGCAGATAAAAAACTGTATACTTAAAGGAAAAAAGAGGAAGAGATTAATAGGGATAGGAAAGAGTTATTCACTTAAGAGATAGTAACCAGACTGCATTGTATCTACTTTACAGATTTTACTATTTCCTCTAAAAACAGAAGCTCTCCAGATGCTTGTTTGTTTATGGAATAACTACAAAAAGTTTCTTGGGAACATAAAGAGCATAAAGACAATAAATCAATTACCAGCATGATAATAAATCAAAAATAGATAAGCATACTCATTAAGGAAAACCTATTAAAATCTAAGTAAATTGTGTAGTCTACTTATAACAATGTATCAGGATTGGTTTCTTAGTTCTGACAAATATACTGTGGCACTAAGATGTTAACAATAGGGGAAATGGTATGAGGTACACAGAAACTCTACTATCTTTGCAACTTTTCTATAAATTTAAACTGTTCTAAATTATTTAAATTTTGAAAAGGATGATATAAAAGCCTTGAAAGTATGATGTTAACCAGAACGTTTTTACAAAACACTTAAAATGTGATTTTATACATAATTTTGAGGGTGCATATATCACAAATATGGATTGTGTGTTGAAGCTGGCTCAATACACATGGGGAAGTTATTAGGGATTTGCTGTCACATGGCAGGTCCGGAGCCAAAAGCTCTAGTTCATCTTTCTGTCCTGTGATTCTCTGTGATCAAATGATTGTACAATCTGCCTTTATTTACTTCTTAATTTAACAGAACAATTAGTAATAACAGTAACATCAGCTGTAAATATTTATTGAGTTCTAACCACATGTAGACACACTTATTAAGATGTATTATTTTGTTTAGTTTTCCTGAGAACTTTTTGAGGTGGATACCACTGCTGTTCTCATTGTACAGATGAAGGGGCATTAACAAGGTAACTCAGTTGCACTCTGGGAGGTGGTGGAGCTGGACATGATGAAGCTGCCTGACTCCAGAGTCCATACTGCTGACCACTCTGCTCTACTACTGCCAATTATCTGGACTCATGCATTGTCTTAGAATGCTGTTCACTTCCTCTGATGCATACTGAAAGACTTTATAATGAGATATTTGGGTGATCTATTGATGCTTGGTGACAAGATGTCTGTCACATGTTTCCAGGCACATTATAGGCACCCAGCAAGTAGTTATTAAATCAGTGAGTGAATAATAAATTAACAATGTATTAATAAATGAAAAAATATTAGAAGATTCAAAAATCTGTAGGATTTATTTATTAGAGAAATATCTCCCAGGAAATATTTTTTCTACTTTAGTAGTAAACGTTGTGGTGGCCTGATGATTTCTCTCCAATAATACGTCTCAATTATTAAATTGAGAAGGGTTCTTAAAAGGAGAACTTTGGCAATGGAAAGAAAGGTTTTAGGACTCTCATTGGCCCATTCACAATGTGTGCTTTGGGGCTAGACTATACAAATGTGCAGTCATAGTTCCTGTGTGTCCTGGAAATATGAAGTCAAAAACTCTCCCATGGTTTCATGAATCAGACTTATCTTTGTCTCCTTTCAACTATTTCAGTACCCCAAATGGACACAAATGCTGGAACAAAGGGACAGACCTTCCCAAATACCTGTGGAATCTTGAACAAAACTACAAATGGAACCCATGTACCATCTCTAAAGGCTATTAATCAGAGTAACAAAATTTAAATAAATTTAATAAATTGTCATACTCGAAGAATAATGCTATTACACTTTAATAATTACTGAAAGACCTGTTTCAAGTTTAAAATCCTTAGACTCCTTGAATTTCTATATCAGACATGGCAGTGTGGAAACAAGCTTTGGCCCTCAGTTCCCTGTCCACCTCTTCTCCTGGTTCCAAATCCCAACACAACAGGTCTCTCTGGTCTAAATGCGGACTCTGCAGCCCAGATGTCAGGTTCATCCACATACTTTGCACACAGTGCCCTTCAGCCTAAAGAGCAAATACCAGGGGTATGACCAGCCTTCAGAAGGACAGACCCAAAGAAGAGGCTCAGACAGGCCATGGAAGTGGGCTCAGGGCATTTGAGCAGGTAACTCTGGAGAAAATACCAATCATGTACAATCTGAAAAGCAAAAATGTTATCAGCTTATGTATGAAAGAATTTTAATATAGATAATTGATTGATCAAGTATTGGAGCACTGAAAATGGAAAATGGAATACACAAAGTTCTTGCTTTTGTGAATATAGTGTTACCAATCAAGAGGACATTTAAAATGATTTCTCAAGACCTTAAATTTTGCTATGAAAGAGGAACATTATAAAAAGGGGAAGTTGCAGCCAGCTGATACAAAAAGAAAGCTGGGAGCTTCATATCCCTGCAATGTGCATGGCTGACCCACAGCATCACTTAAACCATATACTGCCCTCTAGCGGGAAGTCTCTCCGCTCCTGCTCTTCGGAATATTCCCTGTAGGCACTGTGGAAACGTGGAGAGGGAAGGAGGACAGCGTGATCTGTACCAAGGAAGCCACTCCCACCCTCATTTATCCTTCCTTTTAAGAAATCATCTAAGGTCCTACAGGACCAGGGCTATTGAAAGTTACCTAATAAATCCAAATATTAGGTGGGGTTGCAGGCATTTTTTTCCCCTGAGATATGGTTTACAGCTAGGTAATCAAAAGAGCCTCTCCAGAGTAGATGGCTAGGAAATAAAATGAGGAAAAAAATTAAAATATTGATAAAAACCTTCATATATTATTACTTAGTAAACAGATAAGATATCTTTCCATAGCCATAAAAAGTTGCAAAGATCCTTATATCAGAAATAACCTTAAATATAAATGTTTAAGTGCATGTTTTTAGGGACCTCCCAGCTCTGCAGCTTCTATATCCATATAGTAGAAAAATAAATCATTAGTCCATCTAACTGGGATAGATAATCTTTCTGGAGAGAAAAATATTAGCTTAATCTTAATGACCTAAAATTACTAGCTTTCTTGGTTGATTATACTTTTCCTGACTGATCTTGGACAAGTCACTTAACAAATCCGACTTTATTTATAAGAATGGAGCTGAAAAATATTACTTATGCCTCAAAGTATTTTTTTTTTTTAGGTGCACCGTTCCCGGAAGTACTGCAAAACCAGGTCGATGCATGGAGTGGACGGAGCAAGCTCCTAATTCCATCTCCCTGCTCCAAAAATCCATTTAATATATTGTCCTCGGATAGAGGACGTATCAGATATTAAACTTATAAGAAGAGATACTACACTTGATCTTAGCCAAAAGGTCAAGAAGCGATTCAAAGTACTTTTGAGACTCAGGAAACAACTATGAGAACTTTAAACCACAGCTCATTTTTTTCTCTTTTCTTTGAGAGTTAGCGCTCTTCAATATTATGATCAGCTGAGCCAGCCAACCAACTCACCCCCACTGTAATCCCACTCAAGGTAGAATTGGAGGTAAAATGGGACACCTCCCCTGGAGGAGCCTCTGAGGCAGAATGCCGAGCACTCCCAGATCCCCAGAACTCCAGGCTTCCTTTCCTTCACTCGTAACTTTGCTAAGTGCATATGTTCATCCAAATGAACTGAATTCTTGCATTTCTAAAATTTGGCACAATACAGAACCCAATTCCTGGGTGACTACTAATATGTAAGGTGGTTAGTGCTGTTTTAGGCTTTGCTAGAGACAAAACAAAAGGGTTTCACTGCCCCAGAAGAGACTGGTGAGACATCAGAAGGAACTTCCTGACCCTAGGAGTCCTTACACCTTGGAGGAGCAGGACAGAAAATAAGATGTCACGTCATCTCACAATTGAGAATTTAAAAGTGAAATGAATTAAATAAATGAAAACTACTTGTAAAGAAACTGATAGAATTGCTGATCTTTCAAGGTGTTCCCTTGGCCCTAGTACTTAATTATTTTCTGTTATTGTATGTGAGCCAGTAAACATTCCTGACTTCCCTAACCAAGGAAAGCCACCTGTGTCTCACAACTATAATCAATAGCAATGCATTTAATTTTTATGCTGGTTTCTCTTTTATACCAAAGTCACCAAACTGGTTCTCATGCATGTACTCATGTACAAGATAAGATTGTCCCACGAAAGAGTATGTTCTCTAAATCCCCTCTTCCTGTTCACCCTTTAATATGGCAGAAGGATGACATATGCTTTGTCCTCAGCTTCCTCATGGCTGTCTTCATGTCAGTATTTCTGAGTGTGTAGATGAGGGGATTCAACATAGGGGTGATCACTGTGTAAAAGACGGAGAGTACCTTATCCATAGAAAAGCTGCAGAATGGCCTCAGGTAGACGAAAACACATGGCACAAAGATGAGGCTGACCACTGTCAGGTGGGAGGCACATGTGGATAGTGCCTTGCTCTGGCCCTGGTGGAAGCGAGTTCTCAGAGTGATCAGGATGACAGCATAAGAGAACAGCAAAACCAAGAAGCAGACGAGAGAGAGAAGACCACTGTTTGAGACTATCAGCACCTCTACCACATATGTGTCCATGCAGGCTAGTTTGATGACCTGTGGGACATCACAGTAGAAGTTGTCCAGTTCATTGGGGCCACAGAAGGGCAGCTGGATGACCAGGGTGACCTGTGTGATAGAGTGGATGAAACCCCCACACCAGCAAGCAAAAACCAGCTGAAAGCATAGTGGACGGTTCATGACCGTCGGGTAGTGCAAAGGGTTACATATGGCGACATACCTATCGTAGGCCATGACTGTCAGCAGAAACATCTCACTGGCTCCCAGAAAGTGCAGGAAGTAGATCTGGGCCAAGCATCCTGAAAGTGAAATGATCTTGTCCTGCTGCAGGAAATTCCCTAACATCTTGGGCACAGTAACACAGCTCAGGCAAAGGTCAATGAAGGAGAGATAGCCCAAAAAATAGTACATAGGAGTCTGGAGCAGGTGAGCATCAGCTCTCACTGTTAGCACTATCAATAGGTTTCCCAGAATAATAGCCATGTAAAACAACAAAAATATTAAGAAGAGAAATAGTTGCAGCTGCCAGGAGGATGATAGGCCCAGAAGAGCAAATTCAGTCACTTTAGAATTATTTTCTGTTTTTATCAAGTCAAGAATACCAAGTGACCTAGAGGAAGAAGAATTAAATTGAAACCAAAGAGGTTAAAGTTAGACAACAGGCAAAATATTATATTTATATACATGTTACCATATTTTGAGTCTGGTTTTTATAGACTCATATTCAAACATGAAGAAAAGTTAAGCAAGTTCTGTGAGGTGGGAAGTATGCATTCCTATACAGACAGAACAAAGAACATTTTATTGCTCTTCTAATTCTTTATTCCCATAATGCTTTTAAATTGCATTTACAACAAACTAGGAAGTGAGACAATGACATGGATATGACGTGATGAGAACATGAGAGTTTCTTTAATAAAATTATATCCTTTAAGGACAAGAGCTCTGGAATGAAGTATCTAGATGCAATGCCCAGCTCTATCACTCACCAGTCAAGTAATCTCGGGCAAGGTAATAAACCTGAGTGTTATTCTTTCTTTATTCAGGCTAATGTAGGGCAGTAATATTCCCCAAGGTTGTTTTGAGAATCAAATGTAATCTGTTTATGAGAAACATACTCTTAAACAAAAAATGATTAAGTCCCTTAAAGTCAGGGAATGTTTCTTATTCATTTTGTACTCATACTACAATGCTTACTGCATAATAACTTATCAAATTATTGATTTGAAGAAAGAATGCTCTGTACTATGAATTGCTATGTTGTACAAAGGTTAGTAGCTATTATAAATGCATGTGTTTTTAGGAAAAAATTATTGAGGAAAGATTCAAATAAGCTAATGTTCTTTGTCTTTATTTATTTATTATCCCAGGTGACAGAGGTCAGGAAGTTTGTAGAGATTGGGAAAGAAGAAATAAAATATTTACCTTTAAAGTTTAGGGAAGCATCAGACTCAGGATGAGTAGGACAGTGCTGGAACACACTAATCACCGAAAGAAGAGACTAACTAAGGGCAATGACCCATATCGCTGAGGCATGTATAGAGGCTCACCTTGACCCATTTTGTAGGAAAGATAATTAAGGAAATCAGAACTATGCTGTTTTTGAACTTTTCAACAACCATAGGTACACTTAAAAGAAATAATGGATACACTAAGATATTTTTCTATCCATTTCTCTTGCTCTACACTTACATTCATCCCCAACATTGAGTAGGCATATCTTGGATTACAAAGAAAAAATCAGGGAACATTGATACATTTCTTCCTTTGAAGTGGTTAAAAATTAACAGATATCTCTCTGTCTAGGTTAGAATATCTTTAATCTTTAACTAGTTCTTGGCAAAATATGAAGTGAGATATAATTTGTGTTTTTCTGTTCCCATTCCCAGTGATCTGTTTCAAATCATCCAGGGAAAGTTATCCTACAGTTATTCATGTCAAAGATTTATATTTATACTTGCAGAAAAGTACTTGAGTTCCAAACAGAAAAATTCTTAAAACCAAAAAATTTATTTCTGTACATCATTTTAAGATATGTGAGCAAGATAGAGATTTGGGGTCCAAGAAACTTTGGATGTCTCTGTCATACCATATATGTGACCATCCTCTTCAGCTGCCTGTACAGCCATATGCATAGATACAGCTAATTCCACAATCTGATAAGTAATGGAAAGAACCACTTCTTTCTGGAATCATTTGAAAACAAAACAAGACAGGATACCATTTTCTGTCATGTGTATAGCCCTACTCATGCTATGGTACATTGTAAATTTTCCAATTTTCTTGGGATATAAAGGATTATAAATTTCCATGTGGGAGGGCATTCTCATGTTCTTTCCAGTTATCTAAAATATCTACTTAGCAAAGGTCAAGCTCTCATCAAAATCCAGGATCTAATTTTAAACCTCATCTTGGGAAAACTAGAAAGAGTCTGAGAAAGAATAACCAAAGTTATGAAGATTGAAAAGAAGTTTCTGAAACCTGGGGGTGGGTGGGGGGTCAGACAAATGGGAAAGCATAATCCAAAACATTCTTATAATTTATGGCTGAAAAACACTGTGATTATTTACTAAATAAAGACATAATATGCAAAGGGTAGCCATCTGTATTATGCACTTATTATTTCACAGGACATAGTATAAAGATGAGCTTATATTTAAAAAGACAATATTAAAATTAAACTAATCAGAAGGGTAGATGAAATGAGAGTGCATAAAATATGTATAACCAGATTACTATAAAACATTTTTAAGTCCTACCTCTTTAAAGTAATATTTAATACTGGGGAACTTCAGTAGAATAGACATTTTTGGATAGTTCCTGGGAGATTAGTGTAATAGGAATTGACTAATAATGATATCAAAATCTTTAAATTTCATAAAACAAAAATAAGCAACCCTGTGTTTTAGGTATTTGAGTTGTAATTCATATGGGATGGATTCTGATTATTCTTAGATTTTCTTACTGACTGAAGAAATTGCCTTCACATCATGACAACCAATAAGTTCACTTTCAGTGTTAATAAAATTGCCATGTTGGGTAGAAACATTTCCAGCTTCTGTATTTCTGAAGTCTCTGATCACAATAAGAAATTCAGCCGCTGAGTGTTCTGTGAACAGTGAAAAGAGCACTACACCCACCAGCATGAAGGGAAGTCCATCACCTAAAACCACCTTCCACCACAGCACAGCTGCCCAGCCAAACCCCGGCTGGGGCCTGGGAAGCAGTGCTCAGAAATGCCATCTCCGTTATCTCTTGGGAGCTGTGTGTGTGTGATCAGGCCCTGTCAAGTACTTCATGCTTCATGTACTAAGAATAATCTAAGAATTTGTAGAAGTCAATAAAAATGATTTTAAATTGACAAAATGAGCCAAAGCAATTGAGAAACCTTAATGAGAAATGAAAGTCTTATTGGACGGACTCAATACAGCATAAAGGGAAAAGGATAAAATCAAGCTTTTTAAATAATCATGGGTTATTTATGGACAGCTGAGCAGCTACACTCAAGTTTTTCAAAGCAAAGAACCAGAGATAAAAATACTATATAATAGTGGAGGAAATACTAAAAGGGGGAGTAAAGTCTTCCTCATGGGAGTTGTTATTTTCAAGCAATAGACTATATCATGTTTTTCTCTTTTGTCTATTTCCATCTGTGTTGAAGTACAAGCATTCTCAGAAACTTGACCACAGCAATGATGGCAACTGCTTTGCTAATTGGAGTTAAAACGCCATGTGAACTCCTTTTGGGGGTGTCTGATGTGTTTGCTAATTTCTCCTGAGACACCAAGAAATGGACACTATTCATTAGAGATAGTACCCATGATGGTATTTCCTACTGAGAAAAGCATAATCTTTCTGCTCTAACATTTTTTGCTTTGTTTGAAGTATTGCATTTCATATTTCATTTGAGAGAGGTGAAGAAGATTGAGCAAAAGGCAACTGAAATAATTCAAGAAATGAAAAATAGGAACCATGTAGAATTAAGTGGTCCTAAAAAAATGTTACCGTGAATCCAGTGCCTTCTGTTAAGTAAAGATCCTATCTTGTCCAAACCTTGAAACCACCTTCCAAGATACTACCAAGTACTAGAATTCCCAGATGCTATGGAAATTTCATTTTTCTGTGAATGCTTCTAAGTATATAAAACTAGAACAATAAAACCCAAATGATTTCTTAAAGTTAAAGATGGAGAGTGTTGGTATGTAGAGAAAAAGAGTATGGACAACAGATGTGTAAAGATGGTTGCAGAGATAGAAAGAGGAACAAGGCTGGTAAGCGGAGCTTTGAATAAACATATCTGAGAAACTTACATCATTGCATGTCAGGAGTTATGTGGGTTGAAGGAAGGAATATGTTACCCTGCTATTCATCCCACCAGTCCCTTCTTCATCATTTCAGGACAGAAAAATGAGAAATTCTCAGATGACCATCAGAGACACCCAGTCTGTACCTTAACTACTTCCTTATAAATCAAGTACTAGTTGAGGGCTGGCAGTATGGATGGGAAGGATCTCTTGTCCCTAGAGTTCTGGGTGTGTCTGAGACTTCTATGGTTCTTAACCACTGCTAGCCTACTGAGCCCTGGGATTCCCTAGGCTGCTCTCTGAGTTGTCTGAATCTCAGTTCTTCCTAGAAAGCATTGCAGGCTCTGAAACAGTCAGAGCTTCTTCAACATACCACCCAACCATTTTACATACTTTGGATTGGTTAATTTGGCACTACATATGCTAATGGCTTTCCCTGCATCAGTCTGTACCTAAGTAAAACAATTCTCACTGGTTTCTGTCTCGGCTATGCTTCCTGAAGTAGGCTACGCTGGATGACATAGATGAAGTTATCACTGGAAACTAGAAGCAGAAACACTTCATTCAGAGTGTTATAGAGCCTTAATACAACATCTTAGTCTCCTGATGACGCCACAAGAAGCTTATCTAATTAGTGCCTCTGTATGGTTCTTAAACAGAAATCATAGCTGTTGTCATTAGTAATCGAATATTTTTTTAAAGTTTGCTGTTAAAGTATACTTTTTTAATGCTGCAAACATATTTATGAAAGAGATGATAAACACATGTCAAAAAAATGTATTTAACTCTTTTATTAGAGGGACAGCAGGATGATGGAGCCAGTTCAAAAGAGAATATAAAATGTGATTTTTTATAATCAGAGTCTGAAAAAGAACACTAAAATAAAATTCTAAGTTATTTGTAAAGTGCTTAATTGTCCTACAGGACACTACAACATTAACCTGTGGGGTTTTCATTTCTACCATGCTAAAAAGAAAATTACCACAATTTAGGAGTTTTCTATTACATCAAACTATGTAATTGTACATCTGAGTTCCCATAAATAGTAAATACTAAGTTAAACAAAATTATATCCCCCTAGAATTAGATTACCCTTAAGTGGGCTTGTTAAACAATATTTTAACATGACTAAAAGTTCATATCTATTCTTGGATTTCACTTTAGGATAAGGGCAGCAAGTTCAGCATGCCAACAGGATAGTGTCAGACATTTCTCTTTAGAGAAGAAGTTCTCATGGCTGTCCAGCTGTAAGACTTTCCCTTCCCCTGCAAAGTGGTGGCTGGAGAGAAAAGATGAGATAAACACAGGTAGATGTAGGATCCACTT